AGTCTTGAGTACATGTACATAGAGATATGAGCATAGCTAGCATAGCTCTTGAGTACGTGTGTACTCAAGAGCTGTGCTAGCTATGCTCATATAGCCGTATGACATTTTTTCGTTATTTCTTATTTAGTCTGTTTCTTTTCAAATAAAAACTTCTACGGGTACCTTTGGCAATTTTGGATGAGAAAACTTCACAGGTTGACGTCACTGATATGCTTATGTCACGTATATTGTCATTTACGTTGGTGATTCGTATTCTAATATTAGTAACATTTGGTATTCTAATATACGATTACTCTAAAGCATATTTCTATTTGTGTGATGGTATTTTTATCGCCCGTTGTAAATTTAAAATTAGAAAATTTTATAAAAAATTGAATTACACAAAATTATTATTCATTGGTCAAATTGTTAGTAATGAAATTGTAAACTTTGAATTGTAAACTTAAAACTAGAAAATTTTATAAAAAATAATAATTTCTCAAAATTATTATTTACTAGTTATATTGTAAGAAATGAAATTGGTCTTTAGAAATTGTGTTTGAGATTTTAATTACTCACATTCTAATTCCTTTAAAAATTGTAATAAGATAATTATTCCCGTTTTAACTTTTCACTTCCTTCGGCAGTCCTATGACTGCTTATTTTTTTAAAGGCTACCGTATATACGTAGGTATTACGTATATTCACCCGAAGCCGTCACGAAATCAAGAATGATATAATACCGTATAACGCGGATTACGAACAAATATTTTCGAACAAAGTAGTTGGTATATTTTTTTTTACTGTAAGGCAAAAGTGGAAAAAACACAAACACAGTAAAAATAAAGTAAGACGCTACTTGTGTCATGGCTGTTCCCAAGTTTTACTTTTAATATCAAAGTATTAGACCAGCCAAACATCATACTTTTAGCTTAGCTTTCTTTTAGCTTTCTTACTTCTAAAGATTCAAAGTGAAATCTCCATTTAATAAAATAAGATTCCCCGAAAATTGTATTCTAGCGATATATTCTTTTATCGTCAGCTGGATTTTACAAAGAATTGATAAAGCGTCGCCGTATTGAACCGAATAAAGTGTTTGCTCCAGAAAGTTTATCGGATTCAAAACGGCAGCATTAATATTTTCTAAATATATCTTTAATTATAGTTTTAACATTCAAACAGTTTTTATTAGACTTTATGACGTGTAATATTTTTTTAATTCTGGAAGCAAAAAAAGAACAATTAATACGGATTAATCAAAACAAATACTTGAATGAAAGAAGTTTGCGTATTTTCGAAGAGTAATTAAAAAGTATGATGGTAGGAGGTGAAAGAATATGAAAGATGACGATTATTTTTTAATGTAGGTGTTTCAGAAATATTCAAAATGAATTAAATTGTCAGAGATTTATCATACTCTTTTTTTATATTTCATTGCTCCATTTCGAATACATTATATACAGAATCCTACGTAGACTTTTATGCAAACTAAATAAACTATGTTAATAATAATTTTTAAAATTATAGATGAAGTCAGAACATGACAAATTGTCATGGCAAAGCAAACAATTGTTCAGGGTCATTTTGTCCGTATAATTTATAATCAATGAATTTCTGTGATGCAGGTATCAATACTGTCGTACGTGTTTGGTTGGATCGGATCTAGCTGATATTATTTTGTCTATGAATTTAGCCTCGCTTTTGGTCCTATTAAGTCAAATTCATCAAATTTTTTTTACTAACAAATATCTCATATTTATCATTTATTTTTTTGCATTGAATGTCAATAAAAAACTAAAAGTCAATAAAAAAGTACTAGTAGGCAATGGTATTCGTTACGTTATTTTATTGTTATGAATGAAAAGAGTATTTGTACTCCCTCTCGACAAAGTACAGCGATATACGTAGTACCGCAATCGTTAAAAAAAGAAATTAAATGAAGATAAAATGTTTGTAGTTACAAGGTCTACAACTATTAATACACAACAATGGGACAGTGTATAAAATAACAGTCCTCACTAGTGCGCTTACAATCGTAGATAAAATTTAGTAAATGTAGATAAAGTAAAAGTAGATAAATGCGGGGTACAAACGTATATGAAACTTTTTCCAATGCATTTCCACCCCTCTTGGAACTGTAGTGCCATTTGTGACGAAGAAAACACCACAATGACAATTATCATATTTCTATCAACAAATAATTTTCGAACGTCCCTGCTATTCTTTGACAAACGCAACATTATAATTGCTATGTTAAATTTAACAGGCAGTTTATAAAGCCTGCATCATCTGGTTTTTAGTGACGGTAAATTCATATGGTTTTAATTAAAGTATTTGTTATATAACAACTAGGTTTTATTTAAGTTACTTCGGAACCATTTAATAGGTACCGTAAACAGACAATATATTAAAAAAATTGTATAAAATTCCGAATTAATACATCTTGTTATTTTTGTGAAATTTAAAACTCCGAATCCATGCAGCTGGTAATCTCGTCATTTGGATGTTAATCTATTAATGATGCGATTGTCATTAATAGTTATACTTATTTATTTTAAAGATAATTCGGTTTTTTTACAACTATTACAATTACAAACGTTCTAGGTTGGATTCAGAATTATTAAGTTATAAAGGTTTATTTTTGGTTGGGGCTCAAGAACTAACATGTCTGATACACTACATCTAATAAGGCGTGCGATACGGCATTACGAATTTCCGTTCATTGTTTTTTTTAAATGACTATTGTCATTTAACTTAAACATCTAGATCTATTAAGATCTTACTGACTTATCATCATTATGAAGACTTCATCATATTCATATAAATCATAAAACAATTTGATTCGCCTGCCAAATCTCAATAGCAATATTTCGTAATTGAATTCATAGGTATTAACAATTAAAATAGGTATTCACATGTCGACGCGCTTATGACGCACTCGATGACGTGTGTAACTGGCTTTATTATAATACACAATCGTTTACTGATACCTACAATTATACAGTTATATTATGATTTTTAACTTTTCATCGAATAGTCAAATTTTTTATTTTTTATATACTTTGCACTAAGAGCATATGCTTTAAAAGAGATTATGGGCATACGCTTGTTATGGTTTTTGTTTTATGTATTGCTTATTTTAAGATATTTCAATTGCTCATTTTTTGTTATTAATAATTTTATTATAAATGAAACTAATTTTACGGATTTATCGCGTTTATTTTTAATTTTAATTCCCGACGTTTCGAACCCTTTACAGCGTTCATGGTCACGGGACAGACTGAGGTGTTAGACGTCTGATTGTCATAGTTAACCCGGGCTACCGTCAGTTTTTGAATTATTAATTTTGTGTCCGATCTATGCAGAGGGAGCTAATTGTATCTTGTCTTGCAGTAGTGGTTCGTTTGGGCCTAGATTTAATTTTATTCAGGATCCCAAGCTGATGGTAGTACCCAACCTTCTTTTCTATTGAAATTAGGGTGTTTTTTAATTTCAATAGCCTCGCGAATCATCCTTGGGAGGAATCGGTGTTCTTTTGCAAGGATCTGTGGTTTGTCAAACCTGATGTAGTGGTTGGGCCTATTTAAAATGTGCTCACAAACTGCAGACTTGTTCAATCTATTGTGTTTTATGTCAGCTATATGTTCTTTCACGCGGGTTTTTATTGCTCTTTTCGTTTGACCTATGTAAGAGAGCCCACATTCACAGTCAAGTTTTGTACACTCCTGGATCTTGCAGAGGGATATTACACTTGACAGATGGTAAAAAAAACTGACTAATCTTCTTCAGCGGCTCGTAGAATGTATTAATTGAAGCCTGCTTTAAGATATAGCCAATCTTGTCGGTGACTCCTCTGACGTATGGTAGAACAGCAGGTACTCGCTCCACTGTGGCTGGTTTCACTCGGTCACTGTGACGTAGGCGCGGTGCTCGAAGCTTGTTGTCATGCAGAACTTGCTTGACATGTTGAAGCTCAGCGGCCAGGTGTTGTTTGTCACAGATCCCTTGTGCTCTCTGAAACAAAGATTTACCCACGGTAGCTAACTGGGATGGATGGTGGTGAGAATCACCGTTTAGGTATCTATTTGTATGGGTTGCCTTCCTATACACAGTGTGACTTACAGTGTTATTTGGATTGCGGATGACCAAAACATCTAAGAAAGCTAAAGAGTTATTATGCTCTAATTCCATAGTGAATTGTATTTTGGAATTTACTGAGTTAAGGTGATTTAGAAATGCATTAACTTTACTTGTTGGTAAAATGGTGAAGGTGTCATCTACATACCTCTTGTAAAACCTTGGATAAATGGGAGCTGTGCGAAGGGCCTTCTCCTCAAAGTCTTCCATAAATATGTCAGCGACAATGGGAGATACTGGGCAGCCCATTGCTACACCATCTATCTGTATGTAAAATTCCTCCTTCCAAAGCAAATAGCCGGATGTTAGGCAATGTTTAAGTAGTAATGCATACTCTTCCGGCATGTTATTCTCTTTTAGCTTTCTTGTTACAATTGAGATGCAGTCTTCTAATGGTAGGCATGTAAATAAAGACTGTACATCAAATTTTATTACTATAAAAACTGCAAAAAATTTTTGAAGCACCTCACCTGCCTCTCTCTTTCTTACATCATGCAGTGAAATACGAGTGATAAGGTCATACTTATGCCCTGATCTAAACATATTCAACGAAATAGTTGATTAAAGGGTTGGAAGATCTGAATATTTACAACACAAGTTGCTACACCATCGTCATGAATTTACACAATTAGGAATCTAAGGATCTATATGGGAGAAATATGAAATAAAGTGCCCATAATTTTGTTATAAATATATTTACATTTCAATAATAAACAAATTAACACGTTAATGTCTAATTAAACATTTACTGGCCATAAAGTCCAGTTACTTGTAGGGTAAATCACAAATCAACCCACAAATTATGAAACTATTTTGTACAGTTAAAAAAAAGTTGTCAGTTGATCTGTAATCCACAATTAAAAGAATAAAAAAATGTTTTCTCAGTAGCCAGCGTCAGCGTCGTAGCTGCTCTTCTTACTGTCATATTGACCTATTAAAAAAAGAAAATTTGATGACTATCATTTATTTCTTACAATGTGTGATAAATTGGTTTCAACAACTATTTAAAATTCAATACTCTTTCAGCCGAGAATAATTTCAGCTGGTGGAATTTATTATGAAAAATTAAATCAATAAGAGTATCGGTTTCGAGAGATTTTATGCGGTTTTATGCGTTTAACTCGATGTCAAATGCCATTAAAAGGATGTTTAAATGTCGCACTATATTTATATTTTGAAAACCGATAAACCGAGTGACTGAGTGGCTTTGAATTAAATTTGGATTAAATAAAATTTCTATGCTGGAAATTTGAATTTTTTATAGTCTCTGCACTTAAGACTAAACATAAAATTTTGTAGAAAAACTTCTATACTGGTTTATTTATTTAAACTTTATTGTCAACCTTCAGTAAAACAATGTAACAAAGGGCGGACGTAATGCCCAAAGGCGTTCTCTACCACTTAATCCAGGATGTGGTGAGAATTTATGGTAGGTGCAGCAAAAGATGCAAGAATAGTAGGTTTACCATATGAGAAAATTTTTTCTCCTTTGACAAATGACAAGTTCTATTAAATTTTTCGGGAGTAAATATTTCCAAGAGAAATTATGACGATTGACGATGCTGCCTTTTTAATTTAAGGAGTATCTAAAAAAAAATAAAGTGAATGTTAAAAATCGGTCTCACCACCCGTTCCGGCCGTCAGCTGCAAGCTCCTCAAAATCTCTTCAGGGATCGGTGGCGGAGTGGGGAGGTGGTCACCAGTTGCGTGGTAACCGTTCTCATCGGCGGTGTACGTGATGGAGTATGTCTGACCGTCTTCGCTCAGGTAAGAGTACGACCCTGAGACCTGGATTGAGCCTTCCTCAGGCGTGGCCCCCGGGATGACTCGGCCTGGAAATATTTGTTTATTCTTGAACATATGTTCACTATTTTTAAGTATTATATAAGTTTCGTGCTATTTATTCATTTTCATCTTGAACATTTGCCGTCACTGATTTAAGCGATAGCTTATAGAGATATGGAAAATGTTACTACACAATGATATTACATACTCGACAGTGTACTCTTTCTTGTCTGTGCACTTTCTGAATTTGAAAATGCTATCGATATTAAAACAGCTAAATTGTACCACGTTCTACTGATAACAATAATTATCATCATCATGATCATTTCAGCCTGTTAGAGTCCACTGCTGAACATGAGCCCACGAAGCATGATCCTGAGTCAGCTGTCAAACCACATTGATTGTAGACTTTAGTCTTCAATCAACGTGTGTGGCCACTTTGTGATCTACGGAATGGTGATGATCTACGAAATCAAGACGTGGTCCTTCACTGCTGGCCGTTTAAGGAATCTCAAAGTCGCAAAAGCAATGGAGCGGGCCATGCTCTATTTTTCTGCATAATAGAGTTCGCAACGAATATATTCCGAGTAGAACAAAAATAACATATCAGAAGATTGGTAAGCTGAAGTGGCAATGGGCCGGCCATATGGCTGACTTGCCTGGTACCGGGCATCGCAGTGTAGGAGGACCCCCCACTGGAGTCTCTAGACTACTGTGCAAATATGCGGGGGAAGTCGGTGATGAAAATGTTGTTTAGATTTATCATTGTTATTTTAATCATCACAAACTGATTTATATGCGGTCTTAATAGTTTTACTAAAAAGTTTAATGGCATATAGAGTTGTGTAACTACATCCAAATATATTTCGGATTTAGTCCAAATCGGCTATCAACATTTCTGTCAAATTAAGTTACGGATTTTTTGAAAGTTGCCATTACTGAATTTTCCTTAATTTTCAACCTTTATTTTCAATATCAACGACCCGCGTAGCGAGTATTCTTGAAAACAGTTCTGTTTGTTTAAACGGGAAAGAGTTACGCTACAGCAGTCCTTGAATCCTTCGTTGAAGACTTAAAAGTCATTCGGATACATCGCGGTCCTCCAAGTCTGCAATAGTCACGAAGTGAGATATCATCATAGAAACTGTCATCGGTGCAACGCCTTCGAACTTTTGGCGCCGTGACTGGAATTGACCTTTCATTCGATTTTGAACACAACGCTACCAGCGTTACCTTTTAAATTGCGAACGGTACAATAGAACGACAATAGAGATTCTGGCTCATTTATTTACGTTGCATTAACTCACGAACGTATCTCATAATTGGGCTGACAGCATCGGAGTGAGTTATCTGCATTTAGATGCAATTGTCTTTGAGTTGCGAATGAATTTAAGAAATGGAATTATCGAACTAATTCGGTAAAGGACCAAATGTTGTTTGACCCCAGATCAATATGGAAAACAACCTTTTCCCTAGAAAACAAACAAGCTAACAACCTATTGTGAAGCAGTGTCAATAATATTAACTTCGTGTTGTATTATAACGTGTCGCTTATGGGACTGAATACTTATTGCTTTTACCGATATTGAATCATCACTGCTTATCTTACTTAGCATAGTAGTCAAGTAAGGGGCAGTTAAATAAAAAAAACTAAACTAAAACCATTAAAACATGCCGCATATTATAATTGATATAATAACTTTATTGCACTAAATCTAAAATCAATGATAAAATTAATATTCATCTCGCAAATTTATATTACCTTACTAAAATCAATATATTACGGCGTTTAAGATTATATAAGACCGGGTCAATTCAAGATCAAGAATACGAGATATAGTGACTTAATAGGTCCTGCGTGCATTGGTACGTATATTGTACTAGATGTATAAAGTAGTTAACCTAGCTATTTGTAAAATAGCAAGAGCTTTGAATTCATTAATGATCATTATGTTTCTCTATTATCTGCCTACTGTAGAGTATAACAGAGCATAGTAGGCAACACATATCACTTTTTTGGGTTTTTAAGGAATTTGTTATAAAGGACTATGTCTTTATAATTAGTCTAGAGAACTTGATTCTATCTTGTTCTCACTATGGTAAGTATTCGTTAATATAACTTAATCTCTGAACGTTTATTCATTGTTTCTGTAACATTTAAAGCAATCCTTAATGAATTCAGACAACTTTCAACCTTTATTGACGCTAAACAATGTGATTATTTCGAAACGGGGCGAACGCTAGGATTAATTGAAAATCCAAATATTAAATTAAACACATCTACCGAATTAAAACAATTCATCATTACCCTCCTTCCCTTATCCATAACGTGTGAATCATGTTATTATTGGTTTTGCCTAGGTTTTTTACGATCGTCCGCATGCCGGACGTCAACCCTCCTTGGGAACTAATACCCAGATCCCGTCCCATGTGGGAATCGAACCCTTGTATCTTGTATTAACTGATGTTTTTGCTTTCAGTCCCGAGACTATTAAAGCTTCATCTGACGCAGAACCGGTGGGCTAGCCAGAACCCACGGGTTTGGGCCCTCCGCTGTGGGTAGGGCCGCGCATGTGCTCATGCGTGCGTTTAACTATGACATGTCATCTAAGGGCCATCGAAGTTGCGGTGCGGACCGAGACCCCGATGGCCGTCGACTGTGTTTTTTAGCTAATCGGTGGCTGCGGGCGGTGAGAACCGCCCTGGAACGCGGGTGTACCTTGTGTACGCGTTGTGTTGGTCGGTCTCGCCGTGCTCGGAGGCGAGGGCGAACTATTGTGTTTGTTGGTACACTAGCTGTGTGGGTGTAGTGTTATCCGGCGGGACCCCCGGCGGTGGGTCCGGAGTATCTAAGTCCCCTTCCTCGACCGGGTCGATGAGGACGTTTCGCGGGCGACGCTTGTTGACGTTCGCGTTTGTGTCGGGTTGGTAATTTGCTGCGCTTACCACCAGAGGGTTGGGATGATGTTCGGCTCTATCGAAGAACCGTTTTGTCAGATCTTTGAAATATTCGCGAATCGTCGGGAGTCTGCAATCGCTGTGCAGATCAACGTTGCGTTGATACCACTGCGCACCGGTTTGCACGGCGGATGAACTTATTTTGTACTATTTGCAACTTGTACAAGCGAGTAGGGTGCGTGTGGGCGAAGATCATGCATGCGTAGGACATAATAGGTCGTACGCAGGTCTTATATAATAATAATTTGTGCCTTAAGGGCATTTTACTTTTAGCGTTAGTTAAATTGTGTAGCCGGCCGGAGACGAACGCGGCTCTATTACGAACGTTATTAATGTGCGTAGTAAATGACATACGCGAGTCGAAAGTGGCTCCTAAGTATTTGACCTTTTTCTCCCAGGGGAGCGATTGGCCATAAAAATCGAACCCTCGACCCCCGGCGCCGAAACCAATATCTTAGAACATCTCTTCCACACCATACGTTGTTTCTACACCCATGCTTGTTTGGTATTTAAAACGTGAATTTAAATATGACCTCGTAATATTTATTTCATATTCTTGCCCACGGAAATTTTACTATCTCATAAAAGTTGACTATGCACCAGTATCCCTTTTAATGTTGCGGTTGTCCAAGGGTGGTATCGTCATCATTTATTTTATCATCACGTGAATCGCTGTCTCGTTTGCCGTTTGTTTTAAAGCTCCAAGAGGCAGCAAAAAGATCACACTTACCATTTTGCTCGGCTTTCGTGCCGTCGCTAGTTTCGTACGCGTAGTGGTATCCATCCTCGTTGATCTCGTTCTCGTATCTCAGGATCTGGGCTTGGGAATCGGCGGAGGATTTGGTGGGTCCCGCGTAGCTCTGCGCATCTTGGGTCCCGCTGAGCGGCGTAAGAAGCCCAGCGCCAGCCCCACCAGACGACGCTGCGTTGGCTGGCAGGTAGACATTGTCCAAGCGCGCAGCACTTGCCGACGCGAGCATAAAGACGACGAGCTGGAAGCGATAATTGATTTGAGCGATGCAGTTCTTTTACGTCATAATAGTTAACTCTGACTAGTCGTATTCCCCCAACTAGATGGCCTGATGACTTGTGCAAACGTGCGGGAAGTCGATTGATACAGGTGGCTCAGGATCGTGATTCGTGGTAGTCTGTGGGGGAGGCGTGAGTTCAAAAGTGGACACACACAGGTGATGACTATGACTCGTATTCTTCGTAATGGAATAATAAGAAAGTATCAACATGATCCTCTAGTTGTACTGAAGTTTGGAAATGGTAAAATTTTAACTTATTTCGTGATCTAATTAGTTGGACAACGGAGAGTATTTAACGTGTAGGCTCGTACTATACTAAGGTATGAAGACAATGAACAACATTACTTTAAACGGACTCAATTGAGAATTAGAATTAGAGAGTTTAGAATTTGACAAAGTTAAAATACAATTCAGAAATTTATGACAATATGTAATAATGATTTTCAATACCCACTAAAATGGTCGAATTTTATTTGCACAGCACACATAGCTACAGTACCACTTTTGTAAAACAAAGAGCCCTGTAAACAGTAATACAATGAAATGAAATGAATTAATAAAAACCAAATAAAGTGGTTGAAACAGTTACTTTCACCTCTTCCAAATTTTTTTGTGGAAACATTTATGAAGTCATAAAAACAAGTTACGACAAAATAAACGAGAAGCTTACCGAAGCAAGCAGAAAATATAAATTAATACGTAATAATAGCGAACATCCTGCGAGATAAAGTGACCTACTTTCACGATACCTTACCAAGTACTGCACGTCTACAATAAGATCTAAAATTGTCGCTAATAAATTGCGACATCGCTGCGAACTCTCGGGACATTTGGCGATTTTTGAGATGACCGCAAATAAATCGGGCAATGCCACGAATATAAATAAAAAAATTAGCGAATGCCAACAGAAACGCACTGCAGGGAATGATGCCATTGCACGAATTGAATATGTACTAACGTATTTCATGGTTGATTCGGATGTTGGTGCGTCGCGTTACGTCGATGATAGCGCAATGATGCTGTGCAGAGGATGCGCGGACGTTTTATACCGAATGGCCATGTGTTCGATATTCAAACGATTTTGGAATCCGAAACGCGCGCGTCCCTTCGTCGATCGCTATCTTCGCGCGGCAATTATAAAGTTCAAATTGGTGCCGAGTGCGTTCGCACTGTCAAGATCGGGGACGGTGGTGTATGCTTAAACCGAAATATATAGAAACGAAAGTGAACTTTTATTGCTGGAGCAATTTACTCGTTTTAGAGGCAGTCGGCTTTTGCTTTGAACGCTTTGATCGGTCGGTCGTGGATGGAACCACGGACTGATAAATCACTGCTACCCAACTCGAATTCCAACATATTAGATTGTGCAGATGTCTGCTATTTGGATGTCTTTGAAGAACTCTTGAATTAACTCGGCCGTCTTAAGCATTTACGTATTTAGTATAAATTTTGGCTACAGAAAATCGCAAATCATGTAAATCAGATAAAGTGATGAAAACCAGATAAGGTGATTGCCAAATAAGATAAACTTTTACGAACTGCTTAGAGATTGACCGATATACTAGTCGTAGGGCTAACGCCCGCACTAAAGTGACTAAAGTAACAGCCTATAAATGTCCCACTGCTGGGCAAAGGCCTCCTCTGGATAGAATATATTAAAATTAACTGTCGTAGGACCACGCAACAGTTTTCGCTGTTGCACAAATGGGCAGGTCCATCCGGGTTAGTACCACGACCTCACAGAAGACCGGCGTAAAGTAGAAGTGTTACACTTCTGCGTTTCGTCTGTTGCAAATGTCCGAGTAATCACTTAACATCAGGTGAACCGCCAGCTCGTTTGCCGCTTTTCCACATAAAAAAGTATAGTCCACCATTTTGTTTTTACCAAATAAAATTTTTACATTGAATTTGAAAACCAGGGATGTTACCTTTACTATTGTGTAAAAATGTGTAAAATATTTTCGGACACATTTTTACACAACGTTCTCTAGTCCAAAATTAAGCAAAGCTTGTACTATGGGTACTAGATAACTGATAAACATACTTTAGTTTGAATAAACACATATTATATATATATAAACACCCAGATCCTGGAACAACACTATTTTCACTACACAATATTTTTCCAGTAGTGGGGTGTCGAACCTACACCCTCTGACGCAGGATGCAGGTACAATTCCCACTACGCCATTCGGGTCGTCATCTCCGTTGAAAATAAATCATTAAATATTTACTTTATTTACATAGTCTCCGCATATACAAAGAAACTAAGAGACGCGCTTACATAGAGATGCATAATCCGGAAGGCGAATGGTTCGAATCATGGCATCGGAGAAAACTGTTCCTTTTTTTTTTTGAAAATGAAGCAGTTCACTTTTAGTTTCGTGATTAGTATATTTATAATATGTCATCATCATCATCATCATATTAGCTGTAGGACGTCCACTGCTGAATATAGGCCTCCCCCATTGACTTCCACTTCGACCGGTCGTTAGCGGCCTGCATCCAACGCATCCCTGCAATCTTGGCTAGGTCGTCCGTCCACCTTGTGAGAGGCCTTCCTACGCTGCGTTTGCCATCACGTGGTCTCCACTCGAGAACCTTTTTGCTCCAACGGCCATCGGTTCTTCGAGCTATGTGCCCTGCCCTCTGCCACTTCACCTGCTGACTCGCTCTGCTATGTCGGTAACTCTAGTTCTTCTACGGATCTCCTCATTTCCTATAATATGTACTTATTTACAAAAAAAAATATGTCTATCAGTTTTCTAGTAGCCATAGCTCAAGCGTTGATTAGTTTGGGACTAGAGAATGTTGCGTAGAAATGTGTCCGGAAATATTTATATTCATTTATTTATATTTAAAATTGTCGGCCACCTAAAATTAGTCATCGGATTTGCAAAATATTGTAGATGCATACGGTAGGTGTTTTGGTTAACGGTGATCGGTAACCTATCCTCAGCGCCAGAGTTATATGCTCTTTTCAGTCTGTTGAATTCAATAACTTCCAAATAGCTTTAACCGAAACACGTAACCACCAATATTTCCATAAAAAAAAAAACGAAATAATATATTGTTACACTGTGGCGCAGTTGCCAAGGTATTGGCACCGGGATCTTGGGTTCAATCCCCACACGAGAAAACTGTCTGTGTGACTGTAGGTCACAATTGTTTCTGGGTGTTTTTCCGCGTGAAATTTATGTATATGATATGGACTTACAAAAACTTAAAGTTAGTTAGTGAGGGGCTATGTTTTTGAAGGGAAAACTACAACAGATGTTATTTTTGAATATTCAAACATCGTCGTTGCAGTAAACGAGATAGATATTTTTGTGCCAACACGTTTACGTGTAGATTAAAAATACACTGGTATTAAATTAATTCGTGACAACGCGGAATCACGCACTGATGTAAATAGGCCGAATAAAAGACATCGAAATTCTAAGCATATAACAGTGATTTAGAGTCTGTCTAGTGCAGTCAATATACATAAAGTTGCATGCCCGGACGTTTGTCCTTCATGATGGGGACGTATTGAAACATAACTCTTTCTCAGGAACAATATAGTTGATTCAATTTTTAATAATTTGGTAAATTCTAAAATAACCAAAAATAAATAAATATTGAAATTAGTAGTATAGTATTGGTGTGGAAAATTTGAACGTAAATTCAGATTGTGTAGTTGTATATGGTGGACACAAGAATGATAGTATACCATGAAAAAGACAAATGGTGGTAAAATAAAAAGCCTATCTACAAACACACAGGGGCTCATAGTTTTTGCAGAAGGCACTTTATGTAACACACAATATATAAGAATATATATATATATATATTTGGATATAAGATATAAGTAGATACTCCATCAGTTTTGAAGTAAACACGTAACATGTCACTAAAATTGTCATTTCAGCAAGTACGTTTAATTCTATAGTACATGCTACGCAAAAATTCAGACATTGTCTAATTATAAGTTATTGTGATTTGATTGTAATTCCTCTTTTCTTTGCCTGATTTTTTTGCTGTTTATTTCCTGGCTTAGTTGCCAGCTCTTTTACTCATGTATTTATTTTTTTGCCTAGATTCTTATTCATTTGGGGTTATAGGAAGGTCACCATTCCATACTGTTTATGTATCCGTTTTGAAGCGTGACATGATAACCACACATTTTGCTCAAACCGTGTGGTTATCGTGTATGTGCATCGCACGGAAACGACGAGGTTTTTCAAACGTATCGCAAAATTGTATTCAGCTAAAATTCTAATACTCCAGTGTTAAAAAAAATCTCAGTACGGCGTAATTCAACAACAGATTGGCTTCTTAAGATGTTAATTGGTGCAGATCACGTACCCACGTGAAGCACGTCAACGGCAGATACACAGGACGTGAGCGCGTCTGAAGATAGAAACAGCCTTGTGACGAGATGTGGAGGCCTATTCCAAAATCGACTGTCGGGGAAACAATTATCGGTGAGTCGGAAGTCGAACGAGGATTTCGGATGGCGTTAAGTTATCGTATGTCGATCTCAAGTGCGTGCCTGATGCGGAACGAAATTCGATTCAGTGAAGCATGCTCGCCAATAACGACCGCGTATAATACGATTAAGTAAATAGCGCATTCAAGGTCAAAGTCAAAATCTTTAAATTAATTTTCCCCTGTTTAAGGGTACTTGGCATATCAATCTACTGATCCTTACTAAAATGAGCTGAAACTAGAATCCGCACTTAAATATAGAAATTTGTTTCTTTTTTATTAATTTCCGACGACCAGTTTAATTTACTCGCAGAAAATGTCCTTGGCAATAAGTTCAACTTTGTGCAAAGATTTTTTGTGCATATAGTTAAAATAAATAAATTATACCATAGAGTTAATATCGGGTTTGCAGTATTTATGGTATGTCATTACAGTGTCATTGCCAGTACATTGCTCTCTGCAATTAATTTTATGGGATA